CTCTCGCTCGAGGGATGGCGATCCATCGCCGCCCACAGGGGGTGATACTTCCGGGTGTCGATTCTGGCGTGAAGGCCTCCGCCTTGGCGCTTCCGCTTATTAGTAGTATTTTTTGGGTTTGTTTTTGGGCCTTTCACGCCTAATATTGAATGAGTCAATAAATAGCGTGGGTTAACAGTACAAGTAAGCAATAGTAGTTATCGTGAATTTGTCGGTTGTTTTCCTCCCTTCTACTTTATATTTTCTAATAACATATAAAACGGAATTGATAAAAAAAAACTAGTCCCCTTTTTATGGATTTTAGTATTTGATGTTGGTGATGGTTCACTAATATATGTACTATAGAACCATTCCCTAAAAACCTGTGTTAAGTTTTTCAGTAAGGAAAAGAAAAGAGAAAGAAAATCAAGATCACAAACATGTCGTTGAGGTCTATTTCAAAAGATCAATTTTCGCTCGAAAATAAATCAATAGACACTTTAAAAAAAAAAATCATAGATCTTATACCGAGATGTATTACTGCAAAGACAGTGGTAGGTGATCCTTATTATAGAAATTGACGTTCATCTTTTAATTTTTTCTATCCTATATTAGATGAATCGAGGGAAAAAAATTAGCCCTTCTTTTTTCTTTTAGATACAAAGTACTATATTTTACCAAAATATAGTAGTATTTGACTCTTTGTTTCTATATATTTATGCCTTCAATTTATATATTAAAATAGAAACGTTTAGAATGTGTTTGTTATTGCGAAAAATTAAAAATAACTGAAAAAGGGAAAGAAATTGACAATTAAATATTTTGATTTTCCTATTGCCTAAATGGGAATGGTGGCAAGTGATTGAAAGAGAAAAGAATCTGCAGAATTGATACACCCTTTTTTATTATTGACTAAATGCTACAGATGTCGACAGTTGATATGATAAATTTATTAAACAATAAACTTTTACACTAAATGTAAACTAAATTGTTTTCTTTTTTTTACTTTATAGTTTTGGAAACGCGTCCTTTCCTCACCTGAATCTTCGCTCTATACTTGTATACAGTTCAAAAATTCCACCCCTGTTTTTAATTTTATTTCCTATGAAGAAAAAGAAATTAAAAGGTAAAATATAGCTTGGAAGAGGAAGCGTAATAAAGTATTTCGAGAAAATTCAACCTTCGAAAAAATACCATTTTTAAGAATTATTAAATTTGCAGAACTTTTATCAAACTCAAAATATTACTAACTGCTTAAATTTTTCCCAAACAAGATATTTGATTGTCAACTATCTGGTATATATATATATACTCTAAAAAGTGTACATCAGCAAAGTTGGGGTGCCGATGAGATCCAAATGGAAAGTTGTTGAAATGTTCGCGCGAAGAAAGATTTCATTAAAAAAAGAAGAATACAAAACGTCTTCTTTCTTTTCTTTAAGTGATTTTATTTCTATATTTTAAGCAAGAATAAAATAATATCACCAAAGGTGCTCAAATTCCTTAAATAAGGAGCATAGAAAGTCTATAAACTGTGTACAGCAGCACACACACAAAATAATAAAGAATAACCCGAATTAAAGTTCAATATAGTTATCAGAGATTGATATTTTACCCCTCCAATTTGTTTTCACACTACCATTTATGTACTAATAAATAATTCAACACTGAAATTACAAATAAATAGATGACGAATATTCTACCTGTAAGGTAAAAAAGATATATATATATATATATATAAAGTAATTAAAAGAACAAATATATCATCCTTGGAATAACCCATCTTCTCCAGATTAGGCACCACTGCGTTCTGATTCATCGCGTGAGGCCCGCAAACCAGCGCGAGCACCGAACGCGTCTTTTCTTCCCACTTGTTGTTGTCTTTTCCATTTTTATTAGAATTTTCTCCATTTGTTCCTGTCGCTTTCATTCCGTTCTCATTCTTTTCAGTTTGTAAATTCTCGTCATTGAGTTTTTGAGGGATTGACAAATGAGCGCGGAGCATTTCTTCATTAATAAAGCCGACATCGTACGGCCAGTCCGTCGGCGCGTTGCGATCGACCGTGTACCACACCTTTACCATCCCTTGGCTATTTTGTGCGATGCTGTCCAATTCATCGCGCAGTAAAATATCCTCAGGCGTTTGATTCGCGTAAATCAGAATGATTTTCGTCGTATCGGAGGGATCCTTGCGAACAGCGTAAATGATCTGGAGGAGAGGGGTGAGCCCCGACCCCCCTCCGATCATCGCTAACGTCTCCACGCGCACGGTGGTCCTCTCGGCCATCCGTCTTCCGATTTTGCACCTTCCATTTCCCAAATACTCAAACCTCCCGATCGGGCCCCGCATGTCAATCACGTCGTTGATACACAGGCTGTGGAGGTACTGCGTGAGACGCCCCCCGAGCGGGAACTTCGGGTTCACCCCCGCGAAGTAGACTTTAATAAGAAAGTCGACGTAGCCCTTGGCGTTCTTCTCAGATATGGGTGTGTAGGAATGCTGGACCATATCCCTTTTCCCTTCCTCCTTTTTTTCCCCGCAAGGCCCGCGTAGGACGACGTGGTTGCCGACGGGAAGCTCCAGCCGCATCCCCGGCTCCTCGAGGGCGAAGCGGAAGAGAAACCCGTCCGGGCTGACCTGCCGCCGCGAGAGCAGCCGCACCGGGAGGAAGTCGGACATGTTCAGGACCATCTCGGCCGACCTCCGCGGCCGCCAAATCCACCTCGCGGAGGCCCATCCCGCAAACAGAATAGAAAAGAGCGTCAGGGCCACCCCCCAACGCCCCCAAGCCCCCCCGTCCCACATGAGGGACTTGAGAGAGAGGGAAAAGGGACCGTCGGTGGTGTCCCTGCCACGGCAGTTACCACCGCTCAGTTGCAACATTGCGAGAGCGAGGAGGGGATGAAACCGAGAATAGAGAGATTAAAAGAGAGAATATATCTATAGAGAGAGAAACAAGCCTGGAAAGATGCAAACTAAACAGGAGAATAGTGGGGGAAAAAAAAAGGGGGAATTATGCTGCCAATGAGATGTAGCAATTGATAATAAGTAGGGAAATTACTATAAAGAACCCCCTCCACACACACGTGCGGACACAGAAAGAAAGCGTATTACCACTATGGATTGACGCTTGGGTTTGGTTTATGCATAAAAGGATTCTGAATATGGATCTTACACAAATATTCAACCTTCAGCAATCCTTTCAAAATCACCACACGGGCAAAAAAGTCATTATGATGCCCAGATTCTCATCATTTCCCTCCTTCTTTTCTCTTATGAATTCCTCACTGTTGGTGGAATTTCGAACTTTATACAATTAAGGGAGGGGAGGAGGGGTGAGACAAATTTAATAAAGTAATCCGGAATCTGCAATGCGGTAATAATAATAATAATAATAGTATATAAATAGGTTTACGCAGGATCTCCCCTCTTTTAGTGAGCTCTAGAAGATGCTGAGATTCTTCCTGTTTAATTTTTTCTTTCCTTTCTTATATTTTCCTTCTAATTTCTTTTACAGGTAGAACTTCGAAAACGACGACTTATCCTTACGATATTGAACATTTTCCTTCCCTTTGACGAAATCCGCCTGACAAACTTTCATCCGACGTTCGCGCAGCGCGAGGAGCCCAGCCTCCGTACAAATCGCCTTAATATCCGCCCCGCTCATTTCATCCTTTGCGTGAATAAACTCGCTAATATCCACATCCTCCGCAAGCGACATTCGGCTAGTATGAATATTAAAAATCATCTTCTTTGTTTTTTCATCTGGGAAGGGGAATTCGATCTTGCGGTCGATTCGACCAGGTCGAATGAGCGCGGGATCGAGGGTATCGATTCGATTGGTCGCCATGATTACTTTAACATCACTCGTACTATCAAAGCCGTCCAGTTGCGTGAGCAGCTCGAGCATAGTGCGCTGAACCTCTTTGGTCCCGCTGCTGTCGGTATCGTATCTCTTCGTCCCGATCGCGTCAATCTCATCGATGAAGACGATCGACGGGGAATTTTCCTCGGCGATACGAAAGAGCTCCCGGACGAGCTTTGGCCCTTCTCCGGCGTATTGCTGGATCAACTCCGAGCCGACCACGCGCAAGAAGGTCGCGCTTGTTTGATTTGCCACGGCCTTTGCCAGGAGCGTCTTCCCGGTACCTGGGACGCCGTATAGGATGACCCCCTTTGGCGGTTGAATACCCACCTCATCGTAGAGCTCAGGGTGGGAAAGGGGAAACTCGACGGCCTCTTTAATTTCCTGGATCTGGCTCTCAAGCCCGCCGATATCTGCGTAGGTGTCCGTCGGGGCCTTCTCCACCTTCATCATGCTCACCATCGGGTCGACGTTGTCCTTGAGGACCCCCACGATGCTGTGCTGTCGGTCGTGCAGGAGGACGCTGCAGCCCAGCTCCAGCTGCTCCTTCTCCACGAAGGAGAGCAACGGGACGTAGAACTCCGAGCCCGAGATGGACACAATCGCGTGGCTGTCGTCGATGGCCTCATCCAGGGTGGCGACCTCAAGAGGGGTCCCGCGGAGCTCCTCGACCTTCCGCAGCTCCGCCTCATAGTGGGACATGGCCCCTTCCTCGAGGGTGCTCTGGGCCTCCCGCTGGGCCCCTATGGCCTGCAGAAACTCCTCCTCCAGCAGGAGGTAGTCCTTGCACCGCTCCAGACGGTACTGGCGAAGGAGGGAGGCCCGCGCGGGGTAGACCTTCGGCAGCCGCGTCGCTGCGTCGGGGCCGCTCTTCTTCTTCCGCTTGCCGATCTGCGGGGCGACCGGGGGTTCCCACTTCTCGGGCTGCTTTCGCGAGCCTTTGGGCTGCTGTTGGCCCATTTTTGATGGGTGGGGGGGAAAGGGTAAGAAGGGTGGTCAAAGGGATGGATGGTCCTGCCTCACGCGCCTTTGCGGGATTAAAAAGAATGCGAAAGCAAATAACAGGGCCGCTGGTCGCGCACCAGGGGTTAGTCTGACAGAACAAAAATAAGCAAAGCGAGGGCTCGGGACTCCAACGGTGAAGCACTGTGATGAGGGAAAGGCGGTAAAAAAAATCCTAACCACCACAACGAATGACGCAACTTCAGGGAAAGAACGGAGGAGAGAAAAGGGTAACATCGAAGTGATGAGAAAGTCAAAGGAGTCACAACAAAGACTTAAGGGTAGGAAAAATTGGTATAGCTACCATATCATATGATTAATTAGTATTTTTTATCCTTATTTAATGATATAAAAAATGCAGGAAAAAAACGTACAACATGCATCAGGTGCTTTATATATAAATATATTGCAAGCCATTAAAGGCATATTTTCCGATTAAAAGATGAGTCAAAATAAGCAACCGATCAAAAATAAAGAAACTGAAAAAAAAGGGAGTAAGTCTATCCACTAAGCACATATATATATATATACATATATATATGTATGTATGTATCAATATTAGGGAAATAATTAAAGAACCTGTTGTACTTTTCTTCAGACAAGTTAGTTGGCATGCTCAAAAAAAGGAGTATACTTGAGATCCTCAAAAAAATTGTAGAAAAATTGGTACACCATTTTTTTTTAAGCACGTTGAATACTATTGTATTTCATAAACAAAAGCATCTATTTTTATTACTTACCTATTTATTGCTAGTTAGAAAAAAGGGGGGATTTAAAAACTATATTTCATCTACTCTGAAAAGATAAATGCAATGGAGGGTTCTCCAGGGCGGCATTTCCGACGAGCCGCGGCATGCCCACTGCAGCTTTCATCCGTTGCGTGCTTTACCATTATATTATTTACACCAGAAAGCTTCCGAACATTATCACTTACGTTCGAAAGAAGGTCAAAATCATTGACAATAGGCATTAGCGACATCGCCTGTTCGCCATACTTCTCCACATTCGCGCGAACGAACGAGATAAAGGCCATTGTATCCGGAATAAGGTTCTTCGGCAGAGATTCCGAGCTGGAATTAATGATTTGCTTGGCGATATCCGCAGGGAACGAATTATCGTTTTCTTTGTAAATCGTCTGAATTTGTGTAAGCGCGTTGACCTGCCAATCTGAGTACACCGAAAGTGTATAAATAACCGCTGAGGATATTTGCTTTTTCTTCTGTTTTTCAGACTTCACCACTTGCGAGCGGATATCCTTCACAACGTTCATCATAACACGATTTTTCACAATGAGCGAATAATCCAGCGGCGCGTCAGGGCTCGGAAAGCGCTGATCGATCACTGTCCCCTCCTTCTTTAGGACGTTTCTCCACATATGTTCACAGAAATGTGGGGCTAATGGCATCATCATCAATGTTAGAAGCTCGTAATAGCGCCGGACGAGACTGCTGTGGATCAAATCATCCCCACAATTGAGCCTGTACTGGCTAAACTCATTCATAAGCTCATGGAAAGCGGTGTTCAGGACCATTCGGAATTGCATGCTTTCATAGTACCCCTCTGTGGCCGTCGTGATGGTATTCATAGTGTTATTAAAGATCTTATCAAAGACATTAAAATCCCCTTTGCGCATCACCTCATCGCTGGAAAGCTGTTCTTGGGCCTGGTCAAGCAAGGTGGTGAGCTTTAGGATGAAGCTCGCGGCGGTATCTCGGACGAAATTTGCATCCTCCAATGTATCGCCCGCATCCGCGCAGGCCAATCGTGTCGGATCCGCGCCGTAGGTATCCAACGCCTCCCCTAGCGAGATAAAATTCCCCTTTGATTTCGCCATTTTTTCGTTGTCGACTTGAATATGCCCATTGCAGAAGATCGCGCGGGGCCATTTGCTTTCGTCGTTCGGCCAAATCGCCGCGTGATTATACAAAAACATCGTGAGATGGTTTTGAATCAGATCCTTCGCGGAGCAGCGGATATCGACGGGGTAGAAATACTCAAACTCATTTCGCATGAGCTCTAGTGATCGGAGAGGCATCCCGACATCCGAAGAAAGACTTGCTGCATCGCCAACCCCGTGATAAATATAGTCGAAAATATCATCGGTAAACATCTCCGGCTTCAACCCGAATTCATTGTCCACCGAGCCGCTCAACTCTAGTGAGCCATTCGTATTAGTATGCAGAAAGCGGCTGATGGTATAATATGCCATGTAAATTGTGGAATCGGAAAGGCTATCGATGATCATCGTATGGCTTTCATCGCAGGGAAGGTACGTCCCTAGCCCAAAGGTTCGGCTACACGGCCAATCGGAGAGCCAATTCAACACCTCAACAAAGCCATTTCGCACCCCGGGGTAGAACATATTCATCTTTTCTAGATGCTGCATAACCGCCTTCTTCCATTGGGGTTGGCCATACTCGATATACCACTCATTACACAGCGCTACCACGCACTCATCACCGGAGCGGCTAATGACTTGCCGGATAGGCTCGCAATATCTCATGCACTCGCCCCTCTTATCTATCCAGTCCTGCGTGAGCTGCTTGGCCTCAGAGACTTTCATACCCTTGTAGGGCCCCGCAATCATCACACCCTGGTAAAAGCCCATCTGATAGCAGACACGCTTGGCCTCATCAAGCAATTCCGCGGCGTTGGGGCCGTTGATCTTGAGCTTTTCGCACATCGTCTTCGCGCACATGGTCCCCAGATCTGGCACGTCAATAATCGGAATCGGGGGGAAGGGCATCACCCAGGCGTCCTCCAGGCCGAGCTTCTTACGATACTCCGGTTTATTCCGCAGCTGAGACAAATTAATATAATCATCCGGGGAGTCTGAGGGCACCGACATCACGATCCCGGTCCCTTTTGTCTCGATGATTGTGCTCATGGGGAGGGTGTAGATCGTGGTGTAGACAGCCATCGGAGACGAGAGCGGGATCCCGATCAAATGCTCCCCGTTAACCTCGAACAGCGGCTCCGGTGTTTGCCATTTCTTCCCGTTGAAAATGAAACCCTGGTAGGCCATATTCCGCGCCGAGTGCGGGGTCAGGATGACGATCTCCTCCTCATTGCTGCGCTCATTCAACATGGCGTACGCGCGGTAAAGAATCTTCGGGCTCACCCAGCAGTTTGTCAAACCGATTACGGTCTCCGCGCGGAGGGTGGCAGCCGGTAGAATAATCGCCCGCCCGCCGATGTGATTCTTGAAAGGCTTAAAAGCCGCCTGCTCAAGCGGGTCCTGGACGGGAAGCTTCACAATGGTGTACTCCTGCGGAAGCACCCCCTCCCCGCTCGCGCGGTCGTGGTCGGCGCAAGGCTGGCCATCCATCGGCGAGTACACGCAATAGCGCTTGCCGAAATTCACCAGTCCAGCCCGCCGGAGCTGGCGAAATTGCCAACTCACAAAACGGTCGAAATACGGATTCTTCATTGTCGTGATGAAAGACCGGCGAAAGTCAATATAGCAGCCGAACCGCCGCAAGTCCGCGATCGCGATCGGCGGGAAGAAATTCAGCCATTGCTGTGTGTCCGAGAACTTCGGGATCTCATCGTCTGGGATGCCCATCGATTGCATGATCTCCCACTGCGGCTTCGCGGGCCCGACCTTGGCGCGTTTGCTTTTGAATTTCAGCAAATCCCCCAGTTCCTTCGGGGACTTCGCCTCCTCCACAACGGGTGACATCTCCGGGAAGACCGGTGGGTTGCCGTACTGCTCCATCTCCTTCATGATCTTCTGCGCACAGGCCGCGATCGGGGTCCCTGTGACGTGAAACCCAAAGGGCCAGAGCGAGCGAAACCCCTTCATACGCTTGTAACGGGAGACGAACTCGGCCTTCGTGAGGGAGAAGCCGTGACCGAGGTGCAGACGGCCGTTCATGTAAGGGAACGGGAAGGTCGTGAAGTGCTTCGGCGGCTTCACCGGGTCGTGTGCGGGCGGGGCGTCCATCTCGTGCAAGCGGTGCTGCTCCCAGTAGGCCTGGGCGGCCTTCTCGATCGTCACAAGGGTATCACGGCGGGCGGTGGACATTGGGATTGTAAAGGCTTTCAGTCTGAAATAGGAACAGATGACGGTTTCTTTTTTTTAATACTTTTACGCGTTCGTTGCCAAAATAGTAACTTTTTATATATATATATATATATAAATATGTATATAATCAAAACCCTTTACACACAACACGAATTTGATAGTAATAGTTGGTATTTGGGGATGATCGCAGATAAATCCTAAAAGCTGACTAGGGAAAATGGAAAACTAAAGAAATTAGACGAAAAAAGAAAAGTATAAATAAAACTAATTGGCAGATATCATTATAGACTTTGGTTTACGCAAAAATAAAAAGACAAAATGTGCCTTAATAATAATAATTTACTTAAAATAAAAGCTTTCATATGTGCGCGTACAAAAGTGGGAGGTGTTGAGGAGGAAAGACCTCTCCATTTTTTGCACCAATTCTCAAGTAAACATTCTTTCATGATTTTTTTATTTTTGATTTACGTGGGGATTTAAGACACATAAATATTCATTTTACATCATCTGACTAAAGTACACGAAGACAATACAAAAGCAAGAGGATATAACCCCTCTTCTTTTTTGAAAAGGCGAAACTAGATAAATGCCCTAGCCCTCCCTAAGGAAATAAAAAGAATGCAAAAAAGAAAGCTATACATTCCTTTTTCATTATTACACATCAACTCTAGAAGATATTCCAGATCTTACTAAAACTAAAGGCAAATCGGAATAATAATAATTCACAGGTTCCAATACGCCATTATACCCTAACACCAACTTTCTTTGTGGCACTAGATCAAGATGCAATATAGAAAATTTGTTTATTATTATTATTTATTTCATCCGAGTAGCTTTTCCAACGAGCGCGGGGTGCATATTGGACGGGATTTGCGAGCGAATATACTCTATATATTTGGCATCATCCGCCGCCATCTCCTCTATCTCTCTCTTCACGTTTAACCGCTCCATTTCTTTTTCTTCACGTGCTTTTCGCGATCGTTCGTCCGCCTGTTGTTTCTGAGCAGCCTTCAAAGCTTCGACAGAGGCCTGTAAGGCGGCTTTTTCCTCAGCCTCCTCCATGCGAAATTTCTCCGCTTGGCGCAGCCTTTCCGCGGAATACGCCTTTTCCTCTTCTTTACTGAAAAAGTCATATGGGGTAATCTCTGCCTTAGGATGTTCAGAAGTCATCAAACGATGTTGACGCATCTTCTTTAGAGAACCTAGATTTTTATTCAATTCTTTGACCTCCTCAGATTCTTTTTGCAGTTTCTGGCGGACCTCTTTCTTCTCGCGGAGTCTAGTGTCCTCGTTGGATTCCATTTGATTTAAAAAGCTCGGAAATTTCTCCTCAAAGACGTCTTGAGTGCGGTGCGTAGGGTTAGGCTTCGCGTTAATTTCAGCGTATTTCGTTAAGCCAATTTCCTTTCGCTTTTCAAACGCTTCTCGTTTTGCCCTTTCTCGCGCCAAAGTTTCATTTTTCCGTTTATCGCTTATCAACTCTACTCCTCCTCCTCCGTTTTGTTCTCTATCTGCGATAAGTTGCCGATATCGTAGGGTCGGCGTTAGATACGGTTTCGCGTGCTTCGCGTTAAATGTATTGACTTCATCCATTTTCGCGAGCTTCACCGCCTCTTCCATCTCATTTTCCTCGCGCTCCTCTGCGGCTTCCTTTTCGATATTCTGACGTTCGTTCTTTTCGTCCTTACGCTGCTGCCGACGCTGAGTAATTTGCTCAGCGACCTTTTCCATATTCGCGAGCTTCTCCTCCATGTTTCGCTGTCGCGTGACGAGCTTGAGATGCGTAGCCTCGGCAGCGTCTCCCCAGAGTTTTTGCTGAAGTTCGAGGGCCTCCTTGCGAGAGGCATCCCGCTCTTCGTCGTTGGCTAGTTTTTTAAATGCGATCTGCTCCTCTCGCCCTTTCATCGCCTCGTGGAGCATCTTCATACTTTTCACATTCCGCCCGCGGGGGTCCTCACTGCGGTTCTTCATTACCAACCTTGCGATGCTTTCCTGCCGCTGGGCCTCCATCTGGAGAATATATAGCTCGTCGAGGACCCTTTTTCGCTCCGCTGCCTCATCGGCTTTGCGCTCCTGCTCTTTTAAAAAATTCGCGCGGCGGGCCTCAAGAGTGTCCGGCCAGCCAGCTCTTTTGGCCGAACTCGCGGCCCGCCGAGTGGCCTCCCGAGCAGCTCTTTCGATTTCCATTTTTTCCTTCATCACCTCCTCGTCGGCAAGCCGGCGGATTGCCGTGAGCTCGCCCTCGCCGATAACACCGACGAGCGATAAATCAAGCCCACTGGCCACGGCGTTGGCAAGGCCGACCCGCCGCTGTGGATCCACCCGCGCCCGCGTACAGCCCCCACCGAAGTGAATAAAGCCCTTCTTCTCAGGCATCGTGTTGAATACGTTATAGAATATCAATAATACGAGAAGCGCCAATAGGACTACTATTATCCGTCGTACTTTTCTGTTACAATTAGGAAAAAGAAAGAGGAAATAAGGCACTGGTGAAAGAGGGGGGGGGGGGAGAGGGGGGGAATCACGCAAGACTTGTGACAGCTGTTACACCCTTCCTTGTTATTACTAGTAGGGCTATTGTTATGGGTTGTTTAATCATCCGCTGCACTAATATTCAGTTTGCATGAAATAGGAAAACCGATGAAACCTTGAAGGGTGCACCTAAGGGAGAATGACATGTGGTTTGCTGTGAAACCCATTCTTAACAGGCGAACTATCATTACGCCCTTATGAAGTTACACACATTCAGCTTTACCCCTGAAACTCGCAATAGAATACTAAACACGTGCCTTTATCAACCAAATGTATACCAATAAAAATCCATCCTCAAATCCACCACTGTGTCTTTCTGTCTTTTCTCCCCTTTTTGACATATTCCTTTACCCTCCTAAAGTTTGTCTAGTCATGTAAAATATACTCAAAAATTTTTTTTTTAATGAGCGTAACTTTCTAGAGGATCTTTCAGCACGTTCGTATCCGCAGGGTTAAACTTCAGCAATAAATCCGTCATGTCGACGTGCGTGAGCATCATTCTACGGCAGCAAAAACGATGAAGATGAAAAGCGTTCATGGCGGCCTCCTCGGAGACGCCTTCTGCAATCATATCCAGATAGAGCAAATACTTATCCGCAATGACATTCCCACACGTAAAGCAACGCACTGGAATAATCATAACTGTTAAAAACTCCTTTTCTTTTCTTTTTTAGTTCTTGAGAAAATGGGGAGAAAAATTAGAATAATGAAAGTAACTGTTTGATATAGTATAAATCAGCAGAATGTACAACACCAGCTAGAGGGATTCTTTACATGTTGTTTCTTTGTCCTTTTTATGTGTGTGCGCATGTATATGTGTGCCTGCATTGACAAAGTCTTATACATGTATCTCATAGGCAAATATAAGTATAGAAGGAATCCTATTTATAAATGAATTAAAGAATATTCGATATTGCGCATTGTATCGGTGTATTTGTACCAACATTTAGTCCACTGTTCAGCGAGTAGAGGAATAAATACGCAAAAGGAAAAAGCTCTTCCTAAAATCCACAGATCTAATGAGAAAGTTTTCGGTGTACTGAAAGAATAAATGTCTTTACCTTACCCTCTTTTGATACGTAAACCCAATATAGATAAGCACTCCTCATATAATTCACCCCTTTTTTTTTGCGTTCTGATAAATATTTACCTTTTTACTTTTGTAGGTGCTCCGAGATAAAGGGTGATGTCGCCTCCACAAAAGCTTCCATCTTTTCGTAGTGAACAAAATGGCCGGAACCCTCCACTACGACCTCCTGTAAGTTCGGGAAAAACTTTTTTAGACGCTTTCTCTGCGCGGAATTGTTGAAAGGGGAGTTTTCTCCGAAAACAAATAAAATCGGCAACGTGCAAGGCTGAGGCTCGATACCATTCTGACGTTTATGTTTCATTACGTCTTTATTATCAAACCACTGTACAATATTCGGTGCGAACTCGCTGTAAAAATCTACAAGTATAGGAAGATTACACCGCCAGCTTGCCGCACCTCCCTTTTCCTTCGAATTCAACACAATATTGGTGGCGATGAAACCTCGCATGTCTTTTTCCGTAATCCCCACGCGAATTAACTCCTTTTGGATATCATTGTAGTTCTGAATGACGCTCAAATCTACCTTTGTCATGCAATCCATAGTTCGAAAGATGTCATTATCGGATTGAACATCTTTTCTAAAATCGTCGGTAGGGGTGATATCTACAATAACGCATGCGGAGATACGTCCGTGCAGAGGCGGAGAAGAAGCTCCAGGAGGAAAAGAAAGCGAGTTGTTTTCCCCTTTTAGGGCGTTGGGGTCGTAGAAAATCACATCGCGAAGGGGTTCATTCCGGGAAAACCCGAAAGACTCGTTTACGGCCTCCATCGCTGCCGCGCACTCCTGCCGCTGGGCAAAGCTCCATTTTCCAAAAGTCCCAGCCGAATCGTCGCCTTTTTCTTCTTCGTTGACAGCCAAACTATCAAAAATAGCTTTTTCGTTATAGCGCCGAAGTAAAAGCCCCATTACCGCCAATCCTCCCATGCTATGCCCAATAAGCACGCTATGCTGTGCGATTGTATTTGTTACCGAATTGATACTTCGCTGGGAGTTTAAAATAACTCCCTCCAAATCGCTCGCGAGGGCGGCATTGCAATGGATTGGAAGATGGGGACTGGTGCCGTGATTTCGCATATCCAACGCAAACGCGCCGTGGACTTTTTTCACTAGAAAAGGATGCTGAACTAAACGCTTGGCCGCTGTCATCCAGTTATTGGAATTCCCAAGTAAACCATGAGCGATGTGAAGGTTGCTGACCACAGAAGGCGAATTCGGAGGCTTTGGGAAGATGGATTGACATGTTAATTGAACCGGCCCTAACGCCTTACATGAGAAAGGGTTCATCATTTGGGGGTGAAATAATAAAATATCAAAGATATTTTTACAGATTTCTTTATTTAAAATATAGAAACATTTTGAAAAAAAGTGTCAGATATGAGATATGAAAGTGTACATGCATAGATTTTCATTACCAAAGAAAAGTGTTCCTAAGACTAATATGGATGAACTTACGGAAATCACCGTTTCATTTCATAATATGTACAACATTGTTTTGCTTTTTACGAACTTCTATAACAAAGATGGTATCAGACTAAAAAAGTTGTCCTGATACAATAATTCTGTTGTAGAATATAAATATGTTTACCCATATATATTAATATAGGTATATATATATATATATATATATCTGTATCTATATAGATAGATGGGTGTGTAAGATACATCAAGGTAGCTCTTTTAATTGTTTCATAGAGAAACACCAGGGAAATATCTTTTATTTCCCCTACTATCTCCCTTTTCTTTTTTTTTTTTGTGCTTATTCTTTATCAAAAATGATAGAAACGAAGTCAATGTAGTTGATTTCCCCTGTCCCCTTCGGATCCACAACGGCAATGAGCTTATCGGCGTCCTCGCTGCTAAGTCTTTCAGACCCGTAGGTCATCAAAGCCAGCTTGAGGACACTTGTAGATACCACCCCAAATGGGAGGTCGCCGGTTTCGAATTGCCTAAATGCATTCCGCAGCTGCTCAGGCGTGTACTCCACCTGCACCCTTTTCGCCATTATCGCCACGAATTGGTTAAAATCGATCGTACTATTCGATATACTCCCTCGATTACCGTCCTCTCCGCTTTTGGAAAGGCTTTCCCTCCCTTCTTTGCTCCCACCTTCCCCACTAGGATGTGAAAAGGCACTATCGAAGACATTGTTCAGCATAGAGAGTTGCTCTTCTTCTGTTGGACGAAGATTCAACCGGTCCATTAGGCGAAGTAGCTCATGCTTTGTGATCTTCCCGCTATGGGTAGTATCCACCATGTTGAAGATCTCACGAAACTCTTCAATTTCCTTTTCAGTCAAGTTTGTAGTCATCTTTAAATCCATACAAAAGTAACTAAAATTACTTTTCCCTCCTTCTCAGTTTTTTTGAAACTGTATCTATTTTGATTGTGTAGTAGTAGTAACAAGAATAAAAGGATAATCTGGTGAGTCTATTTTTAACACTTTTTACAAAAAAATTCAAAAAGTATAATTAAATTTTAAAACTCATTGTAAAAGGTTTATAACACACACCACTCCATTCTCAAATAAGTTCCGAAATGACTTCAAATGGGAAAAGAAAAAATCAGGTTTGTTATTTTAAGGATGTAAACTTTGTGAATAGTATATTTATTTAGTTTAGAGCGGCAATCACCGAGGACGATTGCATGGTGCTCGCTGTAGGGTTTCCGCCATCACCTGCCAGCGAGCAAGCCACCCCATATACTCTTCCTGCTCGAGAAAAAATTGCATTTGGCAGACGTATTCCGCTAATTGGTGATTAATTTGAAGATTTACCATGATATAGGTTAAAAGGGCGTCGTTGAGTTCCTTGGAGAGCTCGGTGAGATACGGGCCGCCGTAGGCTAGCGTCCGGGCAACGTCCCCGGTATAATTCCAGCACTCTGTCAGCAACCTTTCCCCTGGTGAGGCTAATAAAGAAAAAGGGGAAGATAAATAGGAGGTGTTGGCGGTCCCCTCATTACTCCCTGATAATTCCTGTTGTCGCTGTCGGAAACGATCAATCGGAGCGTCGTACTCGCCGACGCCCGCTTCCCCCATGTTTTGTCTTCTTCCGCTGCTGCGAAGGGTACCCTTCCCTCGCGGGAAATCCTCCCGACGAATTTGAAGAGCGTTAAATTGGCGAAGTAGCTCAATAAAAAAAGGATCCCCGTGGCCGAACACGGCGAACTCCTCGAGCGCGCGGGCGAGACGGGCGGAGAGAAATTGCACCCCACGAATTCGCAGCTCACTGTTGACAAAAGCAAGGCGCACCCACATGCCCTCCCGCTCATCCCAAACACGCTGCTGGCTCATCAACGAACGCCTACAAGGATGCATCCCCTGTTTTCGGTCTCGTAAAGTAGTCCCCTCCGCGTGGTTCACGTTGGGATCCGTTCCCAGAGAAGCCTCCCTGTGTTTCTTCGAAGACCCTCCTAAAGCGGGCGTCCGGCCCCCACCCAGGGGGGTCTTCCGCACAAGCACGTCGAAGGTCGCCCACTCGCCGATGGAGACGGTGGGGTCGTAAAGGGAAAGATCCTGCACCCGAAAGGGCGCGAAGAGGGTCAACTGCGTGGAGGAACGCCCCCCCTCATAGGGAGCCCTCCCCCCCCAACGCGGGACTTTGCCTTGTAACAGCGGCGCCGAAGAGGAAGTGTGACAGGAGGGATCAGAAGAGGTGTGACAGGAAAGGTCAGAGGAGGAGGATTGTCGACTGGGGTTGTGCGGCCCGAGCCGGCGGAGGTGTTCCTCGTAGATGCTGCGATAGCGTTGGCCGTTGTCCGGGCTGTGGGGGGCATCGCCTGAGGGGAGGGTCGCCGTGAGGCTGAAGTAACCCGTCCCGGGGCTGTGATGGACCGCCCAGCCGGGGGGGGGCAAAGGCGGAATCGCCGCCGCGCCGTCGACGCTGTCGCGGGCCACCTCGGCGCGAATTTCATCCCGAACGACACCCTTCAACGCGGCGGCGGCATCCCAAAGCCGACGCCCCGGGCGTGCTTCGCCCTTCACGCGATTTGCATCTGTCCCATGAGCCGTAAACCCGTCGTCGTCGAGTGAAATGACATCCCCACCTCGAGAAGCGCTCACACGGCGAAGTTCCTCGAGTCTGGAAAGAAAACCCGCATCTACAGCTTCGCTCGGGTTCATTTTAGATGTATTGACGCGATTGCTTTCGACATTACCGGTTTCCGAGGGGCTATTATGTGAGGAGGATGTTATTTTATCATTCTCCAGCACAATCTCCTCTTCTTGGTTATTGCTTTGTGTCCAAAAGCTTCTGAATTGCCCATGAAAACAGGAAAATGGGTTATAAGATAAATCCTTATGAAGGCAGATGCTGCGCGAGGCGGAGGTTCGCTGTATTTTCCATAAAGCGGGCGATATGCGCCACCAAAGCATCGTTAATAAAGGTGCAGAGGTCACTATAAGGCTAAGGCGGGATTCTCAAAAACTAAATAAAAGCGATGAGAAATGATCGTCTAAAAAAAAAGTTTACATAAGTCATCCAACCTGCTTTTATAAAATGCTATCCGTTAGCTCTTTAAATCTTTAAAGAATAATAAAAAAGTAACATTTGCGAAGAGGAAAAAATAGAAAAAAGACGCAAGTCAGCCATATTTGTAATAGTAAAAGATGCATGGAATAAAAAAATCTGTTAGAAGTTTGCACATTCAGAACTACATAACGTTGTTTGTGACGTTCGAAACTCTTTTTTTTTTTTGAGAATATGTGGTAGTGACTAAACATACATTAAAGGGCCTTCCGGCCTCTCACTACTGTATTCGCATGAAAATAATGAAGGAAACATCGAATAAGAATACGAGGAGGAATACAAAAAAAAAAGGCTCTAGCTTTCTGTAGTTCATCCACTTCTCCCCTCCGTACTATTTTAGCGGCTTTGCTTTTCCTAGAAAAGTAGTTCCTTCATCCCTACCTTTTCATACCATTGGCTTCTTCAGATTTGACGAATAGAAACCAAATATATGAGTAAGAAACAGTGGAAGGAGAGGGTTGGGGTCTAGGACAAAAAACGTCTCAGTTTAATTTCAAAAAATACACCGTAACTGTGCATATCAGTGAATCGTTCTCGAAGGGTACGTGCACGATTCCATCCTTTGTATTATCCCACAAACTCGCAAATCCACTCGCCATAGCCGCGCCGGTACGCTGCATGATCGTGCAGTTCACGACATACTTAAACGGATTTTTATGCTCAGCTAATTCTTTTAAAATGCCCCCGATTATATCCTCCACCCAAGTATCCACTTTCAGCGCGCTCCAGTCCTCGTTGCCAAGCTTGTTGCGCAGCAGTGTGAAGACGTCCTCTTGGATGCCCTCATTGCTAATGGTCAAATTCTCATCGATGAGGTCGTCTATCTCGTATTCCGCCATGGTGAAAATAGGAAGCAAAGAAAGGAATAGTAAATTAACCTTCCCAGGGGATTAATAATATATTTTCTTTGATGTTTATTTCTGCCTTTTAGAGTATAGATCTATAACAATATAAATATAGATATTCTAATTTCTCTCGGTTGTGTAGAGCCGTGTAGAAGAGCAGATAAATGATAAAGGGTGGCTTTATTTACCTTAGGGATGTTCACTAATTTTCCTAAATAGATAATTTGGTCTAAACCTAAAGGGAATGATAATTAGCCTTAGAAACCAAGTAATGTAAAAAGTCAAAGTTTTTTTCAAGCGATGAATAAATAAAAAGCATCCATGAGTGGAATTTACATGCTAACGGTGGGAAACTAAAATTTTTCGTTCATTCGTAATACTCATCTTTTCTACAGAAGAGCTTTTGTTCAAATGTAAATTTTAATGGTTCCACAGAAACATAAAAACGAAAGATTTTTTGAATAAATATATACATAAATACATATAAATATGCTTTATGTTAGATTTCGCTGAGTCTGAACTGAAAATAAGAAAACATTCTTTCAAATACTGTTTTTTTTCTATCAAACACTAAAACAACTTCTACAGAATGCTAAATAAAGCAACGAATGAATAAATCTACAAGGGTTCATTTTTCTAGATTTTTTTGACATGAAAATGTCAAAAATGAGGCAATTCATAAGACCCCTAGATTATTATTGTAGCTGTGCAATTTATCATTCTCAAACTGAAATAATAAAATGATAAGTAGTAGAATAAAATCAAATTCGAGATATAATTGCAGCAAAAAAAAAATAAGGTCGACTATCTGAATCAAAACGACATAGAAAAGCAAAGACGTGAACCTTTTAGTTGAAGTAATGAAAAAAGAGAAAAGAAAAAACGATAGATTACTAAACATACTACCCTTTTTTTTTATTGCTTCAATAGATAAAATAAATCAGATGAACTTTGCTTATTACCGATATTCATACCAATAGACTCTTTTTTTCGAGCAATATTTAACATGAAGTTTTCTCTGTTCGCTCCACATAACGATTCTCTGATCTCCGCCTTTTTACGACTGATTTAAGTAAATGTTATCATCTCCACCGGGGCCATTCCCGATGGACAGCACCTTGCACCCTGTAAAATGTTCGATCGTAGATAAAAACTCGCAGAGCGCGGGCGGGAGTGGGGCTCCCCTTTCACGCTTCGTGGACGCGATCGGGGCGTCCCGCCAGCCTTTCACTAACTTCACGATTGGATGGCAGTAAGCGAGGACGCCCTCGCTCGGGACGGGGTCCCCTGATCGGATGATATCCCCATTTTGGTATCGCCGCCCGTTCGCCTCGCAGACAACCCCTGTGGGGCTATAATAGACGTATGCGATGGTGATTCCGAGCCGGTCGTAGGCGTCGCCGCGGTCGAGGGCGGAGATGGCGAGGTAGGGGCCCTGGAACGCGTTCACCTCGTGGTGAAGAACGCAGTCGAAGAAGCCGCAGATCCGCGGCTTTCGCGTCACCGCGCCGAACTCGCCGTGGAAGGTGGAGGAGGCGATCGCCATCGCTGCGCCGATGTGGTAGGTCCCCAACCCGTCGGCGTACTCAATCGGCGCGGGGATCCCGTTAAACCGCGCCGGATCCTCCACGTAGGGAAAGGCGTGGTTAAAAAATAAAGACTGGATGGCGTCAAAATCGGTGCAAATATCCTTCGGCAGCTCATGCAGCGTCCGAATATTCCGCACCGAGAAGAAGTCCTGCACGACGAAGCTGCTTGGGCAAGCACCGATGCCCACACGGCTGGAGGCCGGGGCCTTGTGCACGTTAATCACCACCGTCTTCACGCGCTGGAAGTTCAGCTGCGATGCCGCGAGGAGCCCGATCGCCGAGGTGTTCGCCGACGTCGAGCTTACCCAAAACTTCTCGCACCCATTGCTCAGCCAGAAGGATTGAGGGCCCTCCAGGAGCACCTTCTCCCCACGCCCGATCGCCGCCGCCATCTCCTGAACGACATCGCAGCGCTTCGGGAAGGCCGGGTTCTCGCGAACTCGCGTCCGGTAAAGCTTGACGAGGTACTCAATCTTATCCTCCGCGGTGGCGAACTCCACGACGTGCGGGGGCACCCGTTTCATGGTGCCGCTGTTGGCTTCTTCACAGCACCGCACTACATCCGAGTCCGTCATATTCTTCTGTTTGAGCATCCCAAAGTACATATCCATCCCCTTTCTCAGTTGGCTGCGCAGGACGGCCTCGTCGTTGAAGATGTGGTTCAGACGAATCCCGTGCTTCAGGGCCTTCCCCGCGTGCGCCGGCGACATGCCTTTCAGCGTCGACGAATTCACCTCCGAGAGGACCAAATCGATGAGTTTGTGGAAGGGGGTCACGATGTAGACATTTCCCACCCCAACGCGCTCGAGGTAGGGAATCCCGGCGTCGGTGAGCTGCTGAAGCTCGCCCTCCATAAACGAAATGGGGTCCATCACGCACTCCGGCCCCACATAGCACTTCGCGCTCTCTGACAAGATCCCAGAGGGGAGCAGGTTAAAGACAAAGCGATGGCCCTGCGAGTTGTAAACCGTATGTCCGGCATTCTCGCCGCTGTTTACGCGGGCGATGCAGGTGCATTTC